GGAGACATTACTGGTGCCCACTCGAGCAAATTGATGAACAATGGGAGGACAGTGCTACAGTGAAATGCAATACTTCAATCAAATGATTATGAAGTGCAGGAAAGAATCTGTCATCAGTTTGGGAAGATTTGAATTTCTTATAAACACTGAAGATCTTCAAGTACTTCTACCCTAGACAGAACTTCCGAGAACCACTAGTAGTGACCTTAAATTTTCTATTTATTTATTTATTTATTTATTTATTTATTTTTATTAGTGAAACACCATGAGGTACCGTTGTAAACTTACAAATTTTTGTGCTTGGGTTTCAATTATACAATGATCAAGTACTCATCCCTCCACCAGTGCCCATTTTCCACCACCACGGATCCCAGTATCCCTCCCACCCCCTATCCCCGCCATCCCACCCTGCCTCTGTGGCAGGGCATTCCCTTTTGTTCTCTCTCTCCTTTTCAATGCTGTGGTTTGGAAAGGGGCATTGAATGGCAATCATGTTAGGTTTATAGTCTACTTTCTGCATGCTTCTCCCATCCTGGGAAGATCCTCCCAATACCCAGTCACCTTAATTTTCAAATGACTCAGCAGAGAAAGAGGGACAGACAGAATGACTGCACTCATTTGTGAAACATAAAGTAACAGAATGGGAGACTAACACCAAAGGATAGTCAAGATAAGAGCCAGAAGGATTGCTCCACAGCTTGGAAGCCGACCTCACATGCTGGAGGAAAACGCAGCTGGGCTAGAGAAGGAACGACTAAGAGAATGATGCTGGAGGGCTTTCTCGGGATAGGTGATGCATGTAGAAAGTAGACTATGAACCAAACATAATGGCCACTTACTACCTGTACTGCAAACCATAACACCCAAGAGAGAAAGTAAGATGGAATGTGTCTGCCACAGAGGCAGGAGGGGAGGGGGTATGATGGGAGGCATACTGGGAAAAATGGAGTTGGAGAATGGTCACTGGTGGAGGGATGGGTACACAATCATTGTATGACTGAAATGTAATCACATAAGTTTGTTAGCCGTAACTGTATCTCACGGTGATTCATTAAAAAATATAAATTTTTTTCAAATGACAGTGTTTTGGGACTCTGCACCAGGCTGTTTTCATTTGGGGTGCCCCAGAGGGGGATGGGCAAGAACCCTCCCTGCCCCAAGGGACCCAGCCCAATGGCAGCCAACCTCCACTACCCAACCGCCGTCACGCTTCAGGCCACTTTCCAGATGCCCAGGCTGAGCCTCACACAAGAGTGAAGTCCCACGAAACCCAAGTAATGAGGAACTTTGTGACCTTAGACTCTGAACTCAACGGGACCTGGGAGCAGAGATTCTCTGCCTGCTTCTCCCTGTCTCCAGTGACCCAGGGGTCACACCCATAAGCTGCATCCTACACATCATAAGACACTTCCTACCCATTTTCCATAATTACCACACCATGTTCGATGGAATTCAGACAGTAGGCAACTGTCTGATAATAATAGAGAAAAATATATAAATTATATATATATATATTATATATATATATATATATATATATATCTTGGCTGGAGCGATAGCACAGCGGGTAGGGCGTATATATATCTTGGAGAGCCCGGCAAGCTACTGAGAGTATCCCGCCCGCACAGGCAGAGCTGGCAAGCTCCCCATGGCGTATTCAATATGCCAGAACCAGTAACTATAACAGGTCTCATTCCCCTGACCCTCAAAGAGCCTCCAATCATTGGGAAAGATGAGTAAGGAGAGGCTTTAAAATCTCAGGGCTGGGACGAATAGAGACATTACTAGCAGCTGCTCGAGTAAATTGACAAAAACAAAGGGATGACAGTGACAGTGAAAGTGTTTCAAACAGAAAATGGCCCTTTTCCCCTCCTCAATACCTTCTGAGATAGAAATACATTTTGTATAAAAGAAAATTATGGAAAATGTAGCAGATTACTCTGTATTGCTCCTAGGGATAACCTGCTTTTTTTCTGCCCTTTTGCAGTATACCTTGATTTTAAAGAACATTCTAAGTACTATTTGGAGCACACATTTCTTGCATCTGATTAGAGCCTGTTACAAACCCCTTTTGTTTTCTCAGCAGTTCAAGGGAACAGATTGTCCTGCTAAAAGTATGCAGAGCAAATAGTGTCACTCTGGGTTCCCAAGGTGGCACTGACCCAGGCAAGCAGCAAAGAGAGGGCCTCTGGTTGGGGCAGTGCAGAAGTTCATTGGAAAAGAGTTTGGGAGCAGGCAGGGGTGGGGGGATGCAGGGGTCCCTGTGTGTTGCTTTTGTCTGCCCTCCTGCCTTGGTTTGTCAGAGCAAACAAGCTATGTGGCTGGAGGAGATCAAGGCTACTTTGTCAGCAAGTCCAGGAGTACAGTCCGGTGGTATTACTTGTGGTTACCTCTTCCCTACCCACAGCAGGATGCAAAGCCCCTCCCTCTTCCTGGAGAAGGAAACCACTCAGGAGAAAAGCACCTTCTGAAAGGGCCACTTGAATGGAGCTGACTGAATACCAAACTTAATCATTTTCATTTCTTCAGCTAATAGAGACTTTGAATTCAAACTAAATCATCCTAGGTAACAATGTGACTACCGACATACATTTTACAATACTGTACAACAATTAATCAACATATACTTGGGTATTATTGTTGTGGCATTTATAACAAAACTCTGTACGCTTCATCCTTTGTGTGGCAGGACAATGCTATCACATTCAAATACTTAATTGTGTCTGTTTCTCTTCAGCTGAGCTGGAACCGGAATAAGTGTCTTTTAGTGAAAAAAAAATTGCACACTTGCACTGTGCAGAAGAAATGGACCTACTGCCGACCAATATATGTATGACTTACATAAAATAATTCTTGTTTTCTCATAAGCAGTACAGTCACACTGCTTACAGGGTGAGATGGAGAAAAATAATAACAACAAATTCTCAGTGGGGATTAGAAGACTGTTTAAACCATAAAGCATGTGTATTTCTCCTTCTACAGTGAGAGAGTAGAAAACATTGCCAGGAGAAAGAGTTTATGAATGGAGAGCAAGAACCTGGGGAGGATGGGGCAGACCGTGACCAGCATGAGCAGAATCAGGAAGTCGTGGGATTAAGACTGTGCAGGTGGAATGCATGAGCCAAATTAGCATGAGGGGAGTGTTCTTCATTTAATGATTGTCAGACTCTCATGTGGCCAAAATCACTTGTACTGTTGTGAAGCCATAGGATTTTATTTATTAAAGGCATCGAGATGCTCAGATCTATGGAGGTGACAGTTTAAGCAGTGTTGCATGAGTGTAATAGTACAGCAAATCTGACACTGCCTCCTTTTATTTATTTTTTTTCTTTTCTCTTTTTTATTAGTGAAACACCATGAGGTACAGTTATAGGCTTACAAATTTTGTGCTTGGGTTTCAGTTATACAATGATCAAGTGCCCACCCCTCCACCAGTGCCCGTCATCCATCACCACGGGTCCCAGCATCCCCCCCCCCCCACCCCCTATCCCCCCTGTCCCATCCTGCCTCTGTGGCAGGGTATTCCCCCTTGTTCTCTCTCTCTTCTTTTGGGTACTGTGTTTTGCAAGAGAAGCATTGAGTGGCAATCATGTTTGGTCTCTAGACTACTTTTAGCATGCTTCTCCCACCCTGGGAGGGTCCTCACAACACCCTTCATTTGGTGCTCTCTTCTCTATCTGAGCTTCCTTTTCACCTAGAACGTGTGGCTGGCCTTCCATTCATGGAGCAAAATTCCTGGTACTAATCTCAGCCATTCCTGGGTGTTAGTCTCCCTTTTTGTTGCTTTATGTTCCCCAGATGAATGCAATCTTTCTGTGTCTATCCCGCTCTTTCTGACTCATTTCGCTTAGCATGATACTTTCCATGTAGTACCACTTGTATGTAAATTTCATAACTTCATTTTTTCTAACAGCTACATAGTACTCCATTGTGTAAATGTACCAAAGTTTCTTTAACCAGTCATCTGTTCTTGGGCACTCAGGTTTTTTTCCAGATTCTGGCTATTGTAAAGAGTGCTGCAATGAACAAACAATTGCAGATGTCACTTCGACTATACCCTTTTGCCTCTCTGGGATAAACCAGTAGAGGAAAGGGCTACAATGTGTCAATCTTGCGTTTTATCATCTGATTGGCTTCTGACTTGCTAAGGTTCTTGGTGGCTCTTCATAAATGAGTGGTAGAGGCTTCTAGAAATGCCTAGAAATGAGAAGAATAAATTCTCATCCATCAGGCCAACAACAGCATTTCCCCCTCCAAATTTCCTTCTCTTTGGAAATGTTTTTTATATCCATTGATAGGGCAGACGTTCGAATGGGTCGTCGCCGCCACGGGTTATCTAGAGTCACCAAAGTTGATAGTTATTATTTCACCCAACTCATTTGGGAAATTAATGTGAAATACATAAACTGATAATAGCTTTTTCTTAAGTATTAGACACACTCTTAATACGCAAAACATTGATATAAATTATGCGGACAAGGAACTGAAAAAAACTGAAAATATTCAATAAAATTCTAGGCCACAGACCAGTTATGGTTTTCAGATCCAGAGTAGCACTCCCAAGCACTGCCAAGTGTGGTCCAGAGTCTGGCTTGGATCTCAGTGGTGGGTGTATAAGCAACATGTGAGGCACTAGGTATGTGTCCTGGAAGCACTCAAAATATTTTAAATAAAAATTTTTAAATTTAAAATCTTTTAAAATCTCAGGGCTAGGAAGGAGACGTTACTGGTGCCTGCTCAAGGCAATCGACTAACAACAGGATGATCGTGATCTTTCGTGATCAAAAAATTTTAAATGACTTACAAATATGTGACTATATGTTAAAATGTAAAGATAGTTGTGTACTGCACTTATAAATGCTATCTTCAAGAAAAAGTTATCATCATTATTACTATTTTTATTATTACTGAGTGACAAGTACCACAACTGCAGCGTGGGGCCAGGGATGAAACTAAGGTAGGCTGCTTGCAGGCTGAGTATTCGAAGCCTGTTCTGTTGTGTGCTCAGAAGCACATCTACTCAAATAGGAACAACAGAGAGAAGATGAACATGGCCTCTGTGAAAAGGTGATTTGCAGATTCATGAAGTGGTTCATATTTTTAATGAGTAAATGGGAGAGAGAGAGAGGGAGAGAGAGACAGAGAGAGAGGGAGAGAGAGAGACAGAGACAGAGAGACAGAGATGAATGGCTGTTGTGAGGAGGGGGTAGCAGAAGAGAAATGGGAACTTTGATGGTGGGAAATGTACCCTGGTGAAGGGATGGGTGCTAGAACATTGTATGACTGAAACCCATGGGGCAGGAGAGAGAACAACAGAACAATGGCAGGGCACTTGTCCTGTGTGTGGCAGACCCAAGTTTGATCTCCAGCACCCCAGAGATAACCCAAGCTCAACCAGCAGTGGTCACTGAGCACAGAGTCAGGAATAAGCCCTGAATGTCACTGAATGCCCCCCTTGCAAAAATATGTAAATTGTCCACTGTCCACTGTCCTCCCATCGTTCATTGATTTTGCTTGAGTGGGCCCAGTAATGTCTCAATTTTTGAGACTTGTTGTTACTGTGTTTGGCAAAGTAAATTAGTGTTATAGAATTTCTTAATAATTCTATAGTTTATGTCTTTCTGAGCATGACACCAATATGAGGTAGCATAAGGAAACAGAACATAACATAGACTCAGTAAATTTTGTTTTTTACATTAAATAAACTATATAATAGGGTTTATTTTAATTCTCTTAAGGCCAAGAGATAAGCCAAAGGACTTAGGCAGGCATTCTTTCATTCAGGAATCTGATTTCTAGCCGAATGTGAAAGCATGAGCAATGCCTGGAACAACCCCAGCACCAAGCTGGGCATTTCCCCTGAACACTGTGAGTGTGGAAAAACATTTCCTAAATTTAAAAAATGATAAAAAGGAGAAGAACAACATGGAGGGCGGGATCCACAGATCCCGAAGAAAAAAAAAAAAGAAAAAACAGGTTCCAAAAAGAGCCGAGATCATCGGGAAGCCCCAGATGGGGTTGGTACCGCATCCCGCCTCCCCCAGATGGGACCCCGGTGACCAGAAGCCTCTACAACCACAGCTCGAGTATGCGGGAACTAGGACTTTTCCTCAAAACCATCTCTCTATATACAAAATGATCCATGGGAAGTAAATGACCCAACGTTTCTCTCTGAAAATCATAGTTAAGTTTGGAACACGGCCACAGCCCCAGAAACACAAGGACTTAATGCATAACCCAGCAGCTTGGAGCAGAAAAGTGAACGGGCTATGCGTTAATCCAGGCCATCATGACTGTCCGGAGGGGAAACGGTGTTACCCCAATCGCCCTCTCCTCTCTGGAAAGAAAGATGGCGGCCACATGGGAGCCTTGTGGACAGCAGGTATGAGCCGGGGGTGTGGGGGCGACTAAAACCTCATGGGAAAGGGGGCGTTCTGGTCCATCCTTTACGCCCTAACGAGATCACCAGTTGCCCCCCGCGAGCGGCTCTCCAGCACGGCCATGGCCCCAGAAGCACAAGGACTTAATGCAGAACCCAGCAGCTTGGAGCAGAAAAGTGAAAGGACTATGCGTTAATCCAGGCCATCATGTCTGCCCTGAGGGGAAAGGGTGTTGGTCCCTTCCACCCTCCTCCCTCTGGAAAGAAAGATGGCGGCCACATGGGAGCCTTGTGGACAGCAGGTATGAGCCGGGGGTGTGGGGGCAACTAAAACCTCATGGGAAGGGGGGCGTTCCGGTCCGTCCTTCACGCCCTACCGAGGTCACCAGTTGCCCCCCACTAGCGGCTCTCCAGCACAGCCACGGCCCCAGAAGCACAAGGACTTAATGCAGAACCCGGAAGCTTGGAGCAGAAAAGTGAATGGACCATGCGTTAATCCAGGCCATCAAGTCTGCCGGAGGAGAAAGGGTGTTGCCCCATTTGCCCTCTCTTCTCTGGAAAGAAGGATGGCGGCTGCATGGGAGCCTTGTGGACAGCAGGTATGAGCCGGGGGAGTGGGGGCGACTAAAACCTCATGGGAAGGGGGGCGTTCTGGTCCGTCCTTCATGCACTACCGAGGTCACCAGTTGCCCCCCGCGAGCGGCTCTCCAGCACGGCCACGGCCTCAGAAGCACAAGGACTTAATGCAGAACCCGGAAGCTTGGAGCAGAAAAGTGAACGGACTATGTGTTAATCCCGGCCATCAGGTCTGTCCGGAGGGGAAAGGGTGTTGCCCCAGTCGCCTTCTCCTCTCTGGAAAGAAAGATGGCGGCCGCATGGGAGCCTTGTGGACAGCAGGTATGAGCCGGGGATGTGGGGGCGACTAAAACCTCATGGGAAGGGGGGCGTTCTGGTCCGTCCTTCACGCCCTACCGAGGTCACCAGTTGCCCCCCGCGAGCGGCTCTCCAGCACGGCCATGGCCCCAGAAGCACAAGGACTTAATGCAGAACCCGGAAGCTTGGAGCAGAAAAGTAAACGGACTATGCGTTAATCCAGGCCATCAGGTCTGTCCGGAGGGGAAAGGGTGTTGCCCCAGTCGCCTTCTCCTCTCTGGAAAGAAAGATGGCGGCCGCATGGGAGCCTTGTGGACAGCAGGTATGAGCCGGGGGACTGGGGGCGACTAAAACCTCATGGGAAAGGGGGCGTTTCGGTCCACCCTTCACGCCCTACCGAGGCCACCAGTTGCCCCCCACTAGCGGCTCTCCAGCACGGCCACGACTCCAGAGCACAGAAACCAATTTGTTAACTATCTGACTTTCAGTAGAAATACTTCCAGGGTCAATAAGTAAAATAGTAGAAATCCAAAACCAACATATAATTCTTGAACCCAGCTGTAGAAAGCAAATCACTTCACAATGCTTTGTCAGCATGTCTGATTCGGGGGGGGGGGGGGTAAACTCTAAATAATAGTGGTGAATCTTTTACTGAAACAATGAATCTAATCAAAGCAGATAGAGTGTTAACTAGAATTCATCTGCCCCACAGGGACTGGGAGGGGTGGGGGGTGGGGTTTTATTGGGGTTCTTCATGGTAAAAAATAAGTTTTGGTAAAGGGAAATGTGCTTGATATTTGCATGACTGAGACCTAAACCTGAAAGCTTTGTAACCTTTCCCATGGTGATTCAATAAATAAATAAATAAATTTTAAAAAAAATGATAAAAATACTGACATACAATATAATTAACAAGTGATTTTTATATAATCTCTTCTTACATATATAATGGTTATTAGAAGCAGGGAAAAAGAAAAGTGTGTAATAGTAAAATATTTGGTATTAACATGTCAATTCTGACATGTTATGAGATATTTTGCATATTTCTTTTTCTTTTGTTTTTGATTTGTAGTGCTGGTATGAATCCATGACTTCACACCTGCAAAGCAAATGCTCTAGTGCTAAAATGCATCCACGGCCCTACTTTTGTGAGTATGTGTATGTGATTGTGTTATCTAACATTTATTGGATATTTAACTGTATACTAAAGTTAGTTAATTCTGTTATGCCAGACCGTAGAGAAACCATCCTATTCTGCTGTGGGTTCTTCAGAGGCTAGACAGATAATTAGTGTCACACTGACTGATAAGAGAAAAAGGAAAGAGAAATTTATAAGCAACTTACATGCTTTCTATGCATGTAAGAGAAAGACTCTGAAAGTTGAGAGACTGAAAATTGAATAACGCATGTGCATTACAGACTTAGCATGAAGATAAGCTAAGACAAAGGTTGTGAAGAGAGGGAAGGTCAGTTAAGTGGTTACAGACGCAGACCATAGAGTTCCTTGAAGACTACAGATTTATGTGTAGGAAGAGGAAAGGGGTCAGTTGTTGCCCAATATAGGGATGTGTCCATGGGGAGAAAACCCCTTTAGAAGTCTCTCTACAGAGGCATCCTCCTTCTAGAGCTCAGAATCCTCCCATTAAATCAGTTATTTTTGTCAACAACTCCCTTTGCTACCCTACAAGAGTCCAGTGATGTAGTCTCTCTCTCTCTCTCTCTCTCTCTCTCTCTCTCTCTCTCTCTCTCTCTCTCACACACGCTCTCTCTATCTCTCATTAGAGTAGTAAAATGTACTCAGTATAGCGAAGTACTTTCCCTAGCAGTTGTACAGGATTACAATCTAATCCTGGGCTCAAATGTTTATTATTTGAAATTGTAATCCTATTTTCATAATTTATGGATAGTGAATAATTGGAATATAAGCCAGTTAGGTCATGCTGAACCCATAACTTGTAAGGCTACATAATGATGAAATAAAATGAGGTCTACTTGTGTGTGTTAACAGGGAAAGCAATTTTTATCAGGTTATTTAAGTGGGAGAGAATGTTATGGTGTGCAAAGATTCATTTATATTTTTAAAACCCTCTAAATACATGAGTGCATATGTACTTCAAAGTCTATTAAAGAGGGATAGTACAGCAGGTAGGGGGATTTGTTTTTCACACAACCATTTCACACAACCAATCTGGATTTGATCCCAGCTCCCCTCATGGTTCCCTAAGCCCACCAGATTGATCTGTGACTGAGGAGTCAGGAGTATGACCTACGACTGCCAGTTATGACCCCAAAACAACCACCCCACCAAAGAAAACCCCTCAAAAGTCTGGAAAAGGTATAACAAGATACATATCTATTGTGAATATGTTTTTTCCCTGGGATCTGGAATAGATAAAAGATAACCTGGAATTATTTAAAAGTAGATAAAAGGGAGAGGACATCAGGCATATTCCAGTAGTTTTTTCTTTGATCTTGGTAGCACTGGAATCATTTACAAAGAAATGTGCTCTTATATTGTGGGGTTTTTATTGTAAACTTTATGAGAGACTATAAACTGTCAGGTTTGACTGTGGTCTAGAACTGTAGACTTCTACACTGTGTATGTACATACTGTTTGACAGAGGTAACCGTCTCATGGTCCAGAAACAGATTCAGCTGGACATATCTAAACACTTTCTAATTGTAGGGAGAAAAATATTCTCTTCCAAGATAAGGAAGGCTGTCATTTAGGTTGTACAAAGGGAATGGAAATGATGCCTTATCAAGTGTACTCTGAGCTCATTATTTTATAAATAGTGCCCCATTAAATTCTTATCTCATTAGATTCTTAGAATGTGGTTTGTCAAATGG